GTCTCGCTTGTTAATAAATTTAAGTTGGATGGGGTAAGGAATTACTCGAATGTATATGCGTAGTTGAAGGATCCCACGAAAACGTTCGATTATAGTTATTTTCATGTTTTAGGTTGATATCGATTGGGAATATCCCGGAAGAAAAGGAATGCTATGCAATGCTGTCAGCCCCAATGACACAGCCAACTTTCTTGCATTAATAACGGAACTGAGAACAGCACTCGGAAATGACAAGTTACTGACCTTGGCAGTAAGGGGGGAAACATTCGATGGACCAAATGGAACAATTAATGATGTTAGTGCTTTTGCCAAATTAGTAAATTGGGTTGGTGTAATGGTATGTATTCAAGTAATTATAAATTTTCGTCTTTGAAAATCATACTGAGGGCAAACAATTCTGTAGGCATATGATGTTAGCGTTGACGACGGATCAGGAGCCGACTGGACGAAGGTCACGGGACCGAACGCACCTTTCGATATTTCAGATAAAACGACAAATAAGATATCATTCAAAAATGCCATTTCCAATTGGGTAAAGGCAGGAATGCCAGAGTCAAAGATAGTGATGGGCATAGAATTTATGGGGAGATCACAGAAAGCAAGTGCGTCAATGTCATCAAGTCAATATGTTCCCCGGGATCCGGTAGTGCCAAAAGGAGACCAATTTGACGGGCTGTGGGCAGATCCCTGCCCAAACGCCATACCATCATATTCAGGAATATGGAGTTGGTATGGGCTGAGGCAACAGGGAATTCTGGGATGCACATTAAGCACGACGCAGGATAATAGTAGTGGGAGTTGGATACGAAATTTCGACGATACTACACAAACACCATGGCTGTATAATCGAGATACAGGAATATATATATCATACGATGACCCACAGTCAATCTATGTGAAGACACTTTACACAAAGCAGCAAGGGTTGAGGGGGGTAGTGATCTGGGACTTGGCAGAGGATAACGGACATGAGTTACTCGATGTAGTTCAGATAATGAGGAAAGAAGGCTCGGGAAATGTTCCAAGTAATGACTGCCGTGGATCAAGCTCTGGT